GTTAAGCAGATTTAAGGTGAAATGAGTCCCCAAAAATCAGTATTACGATGTGTTTTGATTATCCAGAAAATAAAGTTTTCGACGTTAAAAGCTCAGAAATTTTTAAATGACAATTAAAAAAAATTAAAAGACGTCTCCGTGGCTCAGTGGCTTTTTTTTTGGCTGACAGCTGCAGATTTGAATCCCGCACGGATCAAGTATTATTAAGGCCCACAAATAATTGTTCCAGGTCTGGATGTTTGTCCTTGTCCAATCTATGTATGTATGTAAACTGCCTCCACGACACAGGAGAAAATCCTGATATGGGGGTAACGTTTTCACAAAAAAATATATACCTAAAATAAAATAAAGATACAATTTCGAAAAATATTAATAATGTTAGCTTATATATTATGGGTTTGGTATTGGTACATTTTCGTATATACTTTTTTATAGGATAAGGGTAACAAGCGAGCACACCGTCCACTTGATGGTAAGTGGTTTCTGTGGCCTAGCTACATCTAACCTCGTTTGCGAATCAAAATGCAGTTGCGTTGTCACCCGTGAGGCCTAAGATGGAATGCCTCGTTTGCAGTAAAAAGGGTCTCCAGTTCTCTACACTCACCACACTAATCACAGCAGTGCTAAGCTGCTATTTTACGCTGGTATTCTGTGAGAGCGTGGCCCTTCCCTGGTCCAGGTGACACGTTCGTGCTACAACTATACCAGTAATATAGCTGCAGTATGGTTCTACCAAGTAGAAACGAACCTACAACCTACAATATTGTTTAACAATTAACAACAGAGTATTTGCAAATGATATATACTTATATACCTATTATTTATGTGTAATATTATGACATAATTCATATTTTATAAATATCCTTTGTTGACGCTCTCTAGCTATGTCTACAACAGATAAACAAAACAAAACAATATTACATCGGTCCACGAGATGCTTAGGTAAATTATACTAATGGATTATACGTATTATGAATACCACAACGAACCATCAGGGCGATTATGTAACTGGTGGGAATCTCACTATTGAAATGGGAATCAATTCGCAACTGCGTCATGTTTTGTTCTTAACAAATTTTTGTAACCTAACAAGTGGTAAAATTAAAATTTTGTACAACCGACTCCAATATAAATAAAATGAGAACATCATCAATGTAGTCGAAGTCAATTAAATACGCATTATTAAGGATAACTCAAAAACTACTGGTTAGATCTTGATCAAATTTATATGGGACCACATGAGAATCATCAAAATCGGTTCAACTAGAAAAAAGTTCTAAGGCAACACACATAAAAAAATACAGTCGAATTGAGTACCTCCTCCTTTTTTTGAAGACGGTTAAAGTCACAAACATCTGTTTATGCTGATACAATGGTACGGTACGGTAAACGAAACGACAAACGACAAAACAAGGCCAACCATGATTTTCGCCAAAGTTATATAATACAATCGCACTGCAAGTACCGCGTCCTTCAAACTGGAATCCTCCCCAACGATATCATAAATTTTATTATGTCAAGATTTAGTGAGGATTTGGAACCAATTAGTGAGAAAAAAAATAGTAATTTAATACTTTAGGAGATAGAGCCCTTCTTTCAGCTCCTACTGCAGAAGCTGTTAAGTGGAAATTATTTTGCTAACGTAACAACTCGAATGACTATTTATTATCATCATTACAGCCCTTCAAAAGTCCACTGCTGAGCATAGGCCTCTCCCAAGAAATGCCACAAAGCACGGTCCGGGGCCACCTGCATCCATCGACTTCCTGCATGTCTGACCAGGTCGTGCGGGGCCGCTCTACACTTCGCCTACCGGTACGAGGCTGCCACTCGAGAACCTTTCTTCCCCATCGGTTGTCGGTTCATATATATATATATATATATATAGGAATAATATATATATGAACCGTCCCACTTCAGCTTACTAATCCGTTGGGATATGTCGGTTACTCTGGTTCTACTGCGGATATCCTCATTTCTAAGTATATCACGCAGAGAAACCGCGAGCACAGCCCCTCTCTCTTTAAATGTTTATACTCTACATTAAAACCTTATCCCCTATTTATGTTAATCTACAAATTTATATGAGACCAACTCTGAAGAATATCCTATTTAATAAAAACATAATCATTAAAATCGGTTCACAAATGCCGAAGATATCGCGTTTAGTACAAAAAAATATTAAACATTGAGAACCTTCTTTTTACGGCGAAAAAGTAACCGGAACTCATTTGACTTTTTCATTATAGTTAAATGATTTTTTATCAGCCGACGATTTCTCACCCTTATCGCTTCAAAAAGGCGGATGTTAAATTTACTTAGTTGTTTAAAGCCGCGTTGCTACACGACCAGAGCTGTAAATAGGAGTTAGCTTGCTTATCTGTTTAGTATGTCACTGCCACAGAGCGCTTTATATGACTGCTATTCGATAAAATAATGTGCAAACAATAATTTCTAATATAATTAACACAAAATATATCTAATATTTCAGAAAGACATATTAATCTTTACACTTTTCTAACAATTTAACTTCTCTGTCATGAATTCTGTCAAACATTTCACCTCATTACAAAGTGGCGGCGACCTGTTAGGAGGAAAAGTATGAAATTCCTCATTAAGAATTCAATTATTTTTTTTATTATATGACCATAAATACAGAATCCTTCAATCGAAATATAGAAGATCAGCCTACTTTGATGAGTATTTATTTCATGAAATTCGTCACAATATACTGATGCGCCATATTGCGAAGTTTTTACGATATTTTGACGACAAGTTAATCCAGCGAACAGTTGAAGACGATAGTATCTCGAGCCGCCCAAGAGGTCAATAAAACTTAAAATTTATATCAACATCTAAGCACCCTATAACATCGTTTGCTTTCCACTAATTTTATTACAGCAAATGGCATCACTTATATACGTATACATTACATTGCACTGGAATATACATATAAACTTCAAGAATTTTTTTATCCGCTTGTGCGGCTTGAGATTCTGTCATCACCTGTCCGCTGGTTGAAGATCTCCCAAAAAATTTAGTGTGAATAGTTAAGTTAATAAAATACACATTAGAAGAGACTGCATGGTCTAAGACATTTGCCTGCCTTAATCGGCAAATAGTAACAACAGCATCTACCCGTAGATAGAGGATTGATAAGATACTATGTCTATGCATCTACCACAAACCCACAAACTGCCACAAACCCATCACAAACCAGCACTGGACTGACGAATGACAGAGTTTTGGCGGGAACCATAGTTTTATAGTATATTCTAAGATAGGTAGGAACATGACCGTCGGCAGATTGTTGCTCCTGTTTTCTCGATAAAATAGTTTAAAGTGGATTTTGATACGTAAAAGTAATGCGATTTTGTGTAATAAGTGTCTCCGTATGTGAACTAATAATGAAAACAACGAAACAAATGCTATGATGTTCATATAAACCATAATGCTATGTTATTTTATCCGCTTAGGCGTCTTAAGAACTTGAGATACTATCGTCATCGACCGTTTACTGGCTTAAGTTGTCGTGAAAATCTCCCAAAATCTTGATATTGGTAAATCAAGGACCGAACCAGAGTATATAACCCGTCCTTTAAAGAAAGCGGGAACGTGACTTCCGCTAGGATTTACCAAACCCAAAGATCAAAGCTGTGACCAAGTTACCAAAATGCTCTGTGAGCTTGACCCAAAGAGTATAATAATTACTTGACCGCAGCAAGCAAACAGCTGTCGGATGTCGGTAGATTTAATTGAATCTAGAGCAGCATTGCCAACATGTGGGTAATTCCCCAAATTGCGGGGAATTTAAAGTTGGTTGGGGATTGGTATTATGATATCAATTTTGAAAATCGATAGCCCGGGCCAAGTCAGAACCTTTTTTCAAAAAATTTAAATACTCATCTTTTAAAAATTTTTGATAGGTAACTTATGAATATCGAATGACTCCCTTTTTTTAATTATCTTCATTGCACCACATTTAATTTTCGGATTTATTTCGGCAACTTTTGTGTATAATTTAATGCTTTTCATTTCTTTATTTTTAATTTTAAAGCAGAAAACCGCATGCATATAAATGCAGATACTGTGGTACTTTTTAATAGCAACAAGGGAAGGAATTAAAAATACTCTATGAGTAAAATGATAGTTAAAAAATAAATCTTATAAAATTAGTTGAAAATTGTTTCATTTCTTAAATTAAAATTGAGGAGAATTTGTGGGGAATCTGTTGAAGTTTTGTCCTTAAATTTGGGGATTTTGAAATGGCTTTTCGGGGAATTTGACAAATTGATGTTGGCAACGCCGTGAGTGGTAGTGTTCTGCTGTTCTGTGAGTGAGTGTGAGTGAATTGCTGTTTGCTGCTGTTCGAAGACTCGCTGCTGTTATATTGGTATTATTGTTTTAATCACAAACTTTAGTAAGAAATAGTACAGATTTAACTACGATTTAAAATAAATGATGATATATATAATTAAATATCTGCACATGTGAAATATATGTAGAATTATCTTAGATACTTAGTTTATGTATTTTTAAATCATGTTCAGTTGAGCAGTTAGACAACCGCAGGTTTCATCATTTATATTTCAAACTTAGCAAGTAGCAAACACTACTAGTTTTTGGTATTTTATTTTTCGTTAAAAATGGAGTTTGTAAATTTTTATTATTTAATAAATTTAATACAATATCCCGGACACTGCTTTGCGTTGCTGAATTTCCTTTTTTTAATGAAGTACTGGTATACAATATACATTAGTATTGTAACAGTGGTATGGTACTAGATATACCACGGTGATATCCAATGACAGTTGAAGTCGGTTTTTGTTTCTTGAAAATAATCCACTTACAAATAAGTATGTACTTAATTTAATTTTCGATAGGTCTTGGTGTAGGTACCTGATTATTATTAATAAGTTGTTAGATTTTAACTTCATACTTGTTCACACTCATACTCATTCTGCCACTTAAATGTTTTATCTAAAAGAAAATAAATAAATGGATTTTGAAACCAAATTTATTGCAAAAACCTTAACATAAATTAATATTTCATCTACTATGCACAATATAACATTAAATTTGTAAATGTACAAGTAGACATTTCAATGTTCTATCATTTCAATTGTTATACAAAATATTTTCTTAAACTTTCAAGGCATTCTGATATCACATTGTTAATAATATAATGTAGATAATAATAAATTTACAATAATAAAGTAGTTAGGTACTTTCATAATAACCAAATAGTTGTGGAATGATTAATAATTCTCTGATATACCTATATCAGTATATATTATTGTAAGTAAAATTTTTAGTACATGTCGCCTGTGGGTAAACATTAGTGCAACAAGTAAGACAACCAATCTCAATAATTAATATTAAATACCTTCATTACATACTAATAAGAATTAATTAAAATTGACTATTTAATTATTATGCTAGAAATACTAATTAATAAGGCAATTTTCTAGTGGCAAAGATACCCATGGTGCAAAACTTTACTATTATGTATCCAATAACCATACAGTTTCTATTTTTAAAATCACATTGACAATTAGTTGTATAAATTTAAAAGTTGTCATATTCTAAAAAAAAACACAATATAATCTTGAGGGGAAACAATGTGTATAAATAAAATATAATATTATTGTGCTATATCTCTCAAAAATCATACAAGACATATTTATTTCTACTTTAATATAAGGCACACTATTTGACACTTCTATTACAAATAAATTATTTCAATCTACATGTAAATATTATATCTTTAATTTCAATCTACATATAACTTTTTTAATTTATGTCTTTAAGTACACTTTAGGTACATACAATAAACGAATGTTATGTATAGTATTTTTATGAAAAATACTGATTAAAACCTTCATTACATTAATAAATTATGCTAACATTTCACAGTACTTTCTAAAAGTATTGCCCCTTCATAATTTTATTCACAGATTAGAAATAAATTAATGACCACATACAGAATAGTATAACTAGGTATTTACAAAATAGAATTATTGAAGATTGTTAGAACACAAGGAAAATTAAATAAATTATGTATTAGAGGCTAAAGACCAATCGCATAGCTTAACTTGACAAAAATAAATCTACTAGTGTATATTTCAAGTCCGATTTCGACTAGTAAATATCATGACATTTCTGTTCCCATATGTGACAATTCCTTTGAAGATATACCTATAAGTATTATATCCAATGATTTGAGTGAAAAATGTGCACAGATTTTTAGGAATAAATGCAAATAGTAACAGTGCGTAAAAATGTAAGTAGGTAGGTCTACAAAATACATTTAAATAAAACTAGTTTTTACATATTAATATACATGATAAAGTCCGTAAAAACTAGTTTTATTTAACTGTGTGTTCGCGTAAACATAAGAAATCATTCTATAAAATACATTAGGTATATTTTTATTTTACATAATTTGGGTAAATAATAGCTTTTCAATTTCAAAAAGGCAACTCTTTTTTTTTATAATATTATGAACAGAATGATAAACTGACTTTCTATTTGAGTAATTATATAAATCACTCATTCATTTCAAGTTTCAAGCATTGTAATTTCGAAAAGAAATCCAATAATACTTTCAATTAAATGGATGTTTCTTGTTATCACGAAGTTTAACAGTACGGCCATACTATACTTCACGGAAACTATGATATTTAAAAAAGTATGATACCATCGATTAATAATTGACGATGAAGATAACAACAGTAATTATTACAACGTAAGTACAATTAAATGCGAAAAGTTTGAAATATTTCTGCAGTCGCTTAGTTACTATTGAATCGGAAATGACACGCTATACAACACTATATAAACACTATAAAAAACCATAATATATTCCCGAGAGCGAATTGAAAGGCTATTAATCGATTTTTACACATAGTTTCACAGCGTATCAATAGAGAACTCGAACAATACAAGGTTGTGTCGCAGTGTCTACGGGAAAGCGCCACCGCAAAAATAAAGCCTCTTTCGTATACTGACAACTAAGAACAATAGGAAGAAACTGCTTTACTCACACTTCGAAAACAACTTCATAATATGTCGGCCGCTTTCCAACACCATGCGCTAAAAATAATTGCTGATACGGGTAATCAACATTTGCATTGTTCGCGATCCGGTGAAAATTTATTGCTCCACATTTGATCGGTTTGTGATCGAAGCTCATTTGTACCTTAACGAAAAACCGTACGGATTGCGAACTATTGGAAAAGAAACGGCACTCACTTTACCCCGTTAGTCACAACAGACCTGTTCCATGTATATTTAACATTTACACCATTACATAGGAAACTTGAATGTATTACAAAACAAGTAGATCACACGACTTTGAACAATATCCCGTTAGTGGCGACAACGAATTAAGCAGCACCGGCCTCTTGTTTCTGTTGTATCATAGATTCCCACTGCGCTATGAGACGTGTTGAACTCGGCGCGAGGAATTCCTGACCGGGTGCTAGCTCACACAGTTCCGCCAGGGATTTCGCAGGCTTGAGACTGCCTAAGGAATCATTCCCTGAGCTAAACCTCGGCGACGGTGACCGCAACTCATCATTCAAGGCTTCATACAGCTCTCCTATTGACTTAGTCGCTTTTAATTTTCCTGGTAAAGGAATGTCCTCTTCGTCCGATTCGGAACTAGTTTCATTATCGGTGAGATCGATATCAAATGGCTTTTGTTTTTTCCTCATCTTCTTTAGCTCGTGTTCTCTATCTTTCATTTCTTGAAGTTCCTTTTGAATCTTTTCTTCAACAGGTACATATCCCTTACGGACGGGCTTCCCTTCAGGAGTGCGTGTAATAACATTTGGAGCCACTGCAACGGGCATGATTGCCGCTGGAGACATTAAGGGCTGTGCAAAAGTTACCGGCGCTGTCGGCGAGACGGGAGATGTTACAGATATCTTTCCTTTACTAGCAATAAATCTCTGCATGATACCCTTGGTACCCGTTTGTGGTGTAAACCGGCGTGTGTATCCATTTGTGTTTAGGACTGTTTGCGTTGGAGGTGGAGACGGTGCTATAGGCCCTAGCAAATGAGATGTCGAAACGGCTCTGTTAAGGGTCTTTTGAGGCTTTTCTGTTACGTCTCCGTTCACATGACCATTCTGTTTGGCTACATCTATTGTAGACTCGGACAATAGCCTATTCATTCTAAAATGTCCTTCTTTGAACTCACGCTCCCTTTCTGTAACTTCTATTATCTCCCTTTGTATCCTCGATAGAGGATCTTCTTTCAGCAAAGACTATAAAAAAGAAAAATTGGTATAAGTTACATAATTGCCTCAACTTATCTAATTAATACGAAATCTGTAACTATGAATAGGACACGCTTGAGCAAGGACCCGAGAAGGCATCGCTGCCAAGAACACGATAGTACTTAAAAGTGTGTCTTGGTCTTTCGCGGTTCCTTCGACATACTTGTTTCTATTGACCTCATATATAGATCTTACGTCTACTCGTTACGATTTCTACAAATAATACAACTTCACACTATATAATAGCATACATTTTATAATTTTGTAAACCAGACAAAATTGTTTGCCATTTTAGGCTTTATTTACCTTCGTCACATTGTCATTATTCTAACCAATTATTACCATCACAGCACATCGTAAGTCTGCCACAATGGACGAGCGAGTTGTCAGCCGCAGTTATTTTTTTTTTCTGATGTTTTCAGAAAGACACGGCTGCCTATCTCCTGGTTCTGCTTCCCTCTATCGCCTCGTACAACACGCATGGGGTGATATGGGCTACCGGATATTCTTACACCGCCACTATGCGATAGTGAAAAATTGGTATAGACGATTGGCGAAAACTTGGTATTAAATGACCAACGTCCATTCAAACATGAATATTGATGAATCATAAATGAAACGAATTTATGTATGAAACTATAAGAGTCGTATAGGTTAACAGCACCAACATCACAGAAAATAGGTAATCGAAATAATTACTTGGCCGTAATTAACAGAGTAATGTTATGACCGATAAAATAAGCAACGTGTCTAGATATTAAAAGGTTTTGGAAGATAGGACCTATAATGTGGTTTTAATCACTTATTTTGCATAAAAAAGTATTTGAAAACAAGTTCTTTAAAGCATTACATAGGTACGGTCATTATTAAGTCATTATGCGTCTAACTTTTACAACATTAGTGGATCATTAACTTAATCATCTCTCGAAGATAGCCTTTATATTATGTTACTAGATGTTCCCCGCGACTACGTCCGCGTATAATTGATTACGATGAGGTTTCATGGGTTTGAATTTTATTTTGCGCGGAACCCTAATTGTTTTTTCTAAAATAAAAGAAGTCTAAGTCACTCCTTATAACATCAGTTATCTGCCAGTGAAAGTCCCGTCAAAATCAGTCCAGCCGTTTTGGAGATTAGCCGGAACAAACAGACAAACAAACATTTTAAAAAGTGTGTGTTTTTTTTTGTTATAAGTAGTATTACCGTATATACAAACTTAAATATACATTTAATAAAAAGCTGTTATTTTGACATTACAAACCGACACTTCAATTTTATTTATTTGTATAGATTCTAAAAACTAAAATGGTCAAATTATTGAAACTACTATTTGCCATGATTAATGTAAACTCGAAATAAGAAATCTAGGTATTTCCACGAACAAATGTCGCTATTGGTGCCGAGAAACTAATCAATTTTGCTGAGATCTCAGTTCTGTATTGGAAAGAGGTCAGTCTTTACGGCATGCCGTGCAAAATGCTCATCGACCTACGCAACGCGGCGTGTTTGCCTGAACCTGAACTGACCGCAGCTCACTTTCATCTGACGGTATTGTAGCCAGCGGTTGCAGTTTCATGTGACAATATATGTACTAAGGTAATTTATTGTACATGGATCTGTATATCTAGATGATATTTGTGTTGCTTGCAACTGTATAATATTTGAAATTCTCAATATAAAACTAATTCCCATGCATTTTGAACGCATGCACATTTATATGTTACATCTATGTTCATAAAAGTTATTTATGTTTTGTATGTGGGTACGAGGACACTAGTGGTAACAGTTAGGCAAATAGCCTCAATTTTTTACAGATTAAATTATATAAATCATTTATATTAATTCATGGCCACACAAAGACGATAAGACAATAGCCACTCATTTACAAGAACGTTCGATTGCAATAAATCGAACAATATCGAAGATAATTTTGTCGTTATCAGATATATAACAGTACAGCTAATCTCGACGGCTGGGACCGGCTTGCTGCAACACCTCGTAAAAAGCTTTCTATACATACTTTTCTTCGTATATGACCGCCTAAGTACAGAAAAACACGCGTCCATCCAACCACAACTACACAAGCACCATCCGACTGTACCGTATCCCATGCCGTCGACCTACGAACTCGCGATTAAGATCGCGTCTGATCTTAACTAGAGCATGATCGCATTCCAATATCCGTTCGGATACTCACTTCACCCATGACGGATAAATATACACTTTGAACAGGATAAACAGTTGATCACTGAAACTTCACGGTTTACACATCACGACACCGACACCTGGCACCGTTGTGAGACAATTGGCGATTGACGGAGCGAGACGTGCGTCGCGTCTGCCGGTCGCGGGCTAACGGCCTCTCGGTCTCGTACTCGTATCACCTCAAGTAATTGGCGCGAGAGTGAGAGGTACGAAATCACCTGTAGAAAAGAGAAAGGTTTACAACACCTGGCGCTGCTTTACCGACGCGACCACTTTACCGACTAATTCCTATTTGAAATTCGAGCGCGGATTTACGCGCCGTTAATTTTTGAAGGGACACGCCAGTTGTACAGGATGGGGATGTTTTGGATCTGTCGTAAGCAGTCACGTGTGACCGATAAACCATTTCCCTCTTTAATTACATTGTAACGTAATATGACACTACACCGTACATACTGGTGCACACCCTAGAATCTAGCATTTCGAATATTTTGAACAATAAATTATGTAAACCAGTCATACGACAATTGCGTGTTTTAGTCTCTGTCCTGTTACCTGCATCTGAGTCTAAACGTTACATCCAATTTATGTATATTATTTTATAGAATGAGGATGACAAACGAGCACACAGCCCAGCTGATGGTAAGTGGATGCTGTGGCCCATCGAACTCTTAGTCTATCCTCGACCAAGAATCAAAATGCTGATGCGCTGTCACTCATGAGGACTAATATGAAATGCCTTGTTTCCAGTAAAAAGGGACTCCGATGCTCTACACCCCAAACGAAACATAGCATTCTCAGAATACAGAAAGTCTATTCTGAAATTCTGAAGCAACATTGAGCTGTTATTTTAAGCTGGTATTCTGTGTGAGCGTGGTCTCTTCCCAGGCGTAGTTCTACCGAGTCCAAAATTCCACTAACACGTCCTAACGCATTGGACGACAATTATGTAAATATTTTTTCTAGGCAATATATTAAATCCGATAAGAATATTGGGACGTTGTAGATACTGACCTCACATTATCACTTACTCAATATTCACCAAAATTCTATAGTGAAACATTTTTAATGAACCAATCAACAATCTTCAGTTACTTAAACAGTTACTTTAAAAGTTTATGCAATAATTTGTTACTTAAAAGCATTAGGATTAAAAAAAATCTTATTTCATAGTTAGCCATCTACAATACAAACTATGAAACGAGTTTTTTTTTCATATACCTACTAACTTCTAAAGTCTATGTTAAAACATGGTGTATCGAAGAATTAAAACCATTATGTATGAATTATTTTATTCTATAACTAGCTGTTCCCCGCGACTTCGCCCGCGTGTAATTTAGGGTTTTAATAATTATATTGCTCAGAACCCTAATTATTTTTATCCTAAGTTACTCCTTAGAACATCAGCTATCTGCCAGTGAAAGTCCCGTCGAAATCGGTTCAGCCGTTTCGGAAATTAGCCGGAACAAACTGACACAAATTTTAAAAAATTGTGTTTTTGTTATAAGTAGGTACCTAACGTGTCTACATTCATATGCATTTAGTAAAAAGCTGTTATTTTAACATTACAAACAGACACTTCAATTTTATTTATTTATATATTTGTGTAGATGATTTCTTATATTTATGCGAACATTTTTTTTAGTTTTTGAATTTCGCCTTTTTAATTTTATTAAGTAGTTTAAAAGTTTATTTTTTTTACTCTTTTCAGTATATAAATAACATAAGTTCTAGGTAACAACTAAAATTTAACCTAAATAGTTTAAACTAAATATGAAGTATCCCCAATCTTTTCACCATTAGGAGTAATTTTTTTTAAATGAAAATAGGACCATCCTTGAAGTATATAGTGAAGTATAAAAATCACTAAAATCGGTTTATAAACAAAGAAGTAAATGCTCGAGCATAATATGTAAAAAACCTAACCTTTTTTTTATGCGACCCAAAAAAGGTTTTTGTGTCGCTAAAAAAAATGTTAACCATTTCATAATTAAAAAATACAGGACACATGAAATCCAATAATGTGTATTGTAACAAAACGATTCAAAACTATCCAACTTATTCAAAGTAAAAAAAAAACGTCGTAGAGCCAAGCCCTAGTAGGGCGTAAGGGAACTTAGGAGAAAAGTCAACTGTTGAACATAAGATTCCCCTATAAATTGCCCATATTCGCCATAGTTGCTAAGCTTGGCAGGCGGGTTGGCAACCGCAATTTTTTATTATTCTGAGTTGTTATTAAGAAGGCTGCTACCCATTTCCTGTCTGACAGTCAAAATAAAACAGGCCAATTGCGAACCCGGAAACGTTCCGTACCATCGTACAAGATTTTCTTTTATAGGATAGGGTGACAAACAAGCACACAGTCCACCTAATGGTAAGTGGTTGCTGTGGCCCATAGACATATACATTTATCCTCAAAAAAGAATCAAAATGCAGATGCGTCGTCACCCGTGAGGACTAAGATGGAATGACTCTTTTCCAGTAAAATGGGTCTCCGGTTCTCTACACTCACCATACGAAACACAGCAGTGTCAAGCTGCTATTTTACGCTGGTATTCTGTGAGAGCGTGGTTCTTCCCCGGTCGAGCCGACCCATTCTTGCAACTACTATACTACTAATATAGCTGCAGCATGTCTCTACCACGTATTAATTACTACTACATACGTAAAAAAACACGTTTCTAGTAGGGGAGCCCACTTTAATTTTTAAGTTGTTTTTATTTTTATTCCTTTTTGTTATAGCGCATTTTGTTGTTATTGAAAATTTCAGGTCTACCTTTTACAGATCATGAGATACAGCCTGCTGACAGATGGACGGACGGACAGCGGAGGTTTAATAATAGGGTACCGTTGGTTACGCATCGGGTACCGAACCCTAAAAAGGTCTTACATTACTTAATACACTTTTGTATTACTTTATAGGTTTGGTTTGGTTATTTATTATCATTTATTGGAAATCATTACGATGTACATGCAATTTTTTTTGGTTAGTGTTGCTTCGGCCCATAAACATATACATCTATCCTTGATTGAGAATCTAAAGCACATGGGCTGTCACCCCTTTTTTTTTGCGGATGGAAAATCAAATGACGCCTTTCGCTCTGGGTGGAGCGGAAGGGAGTGTCAGACTTTTACTGACTAAAAACCATCCGTGTTCCTTCAGTGCCCTTACGTTCCGGAGCCGCGGTATCTCTTTCGAACAGCCCGCAGCCCCGGCAGGCGTCGGCCCTTGTGGGCCCCTTCACGCTGCTGACAGCTCTTTGAGGCGCGCGTGGAACAAAACGCGCCGTCGACACGGCCTGTCGTCGTTAGACGGGCGGACGGCGAGCTACCCATTGCTCGCCGTCCACAGGCCCGCGCCTACGGTGGCCGGGGGCCACGACGTAGCCCCCGACTCCCGGGGCTGGGGCTGTCACCCCTAAGGGCTAAGAGAGAATGCCTCGTTTCCACTTAAAAGGGTCTCCGGTTCTCTACACTCACCATACGATACGCAGCATCATTAAGCTGCTATTCCACGCCGTTATTCTGTGAGAGCGTGGTCCTTCCCCGGTCAAGCCAACCAATTCGAGCTACAAGTACAATATAGCTGCAGCATTACTCTATCACGTAAAAAAATTCAAATAAATTTAAAATGAAATAAAATCGAAGGCAGTTTTAAAAATAAACAGTGGCTGGGTTTTTGCCGGTTCTTCACAGTACAGATTTTACATGCAGCATAGGTAAAATAAAAAAATGCAATTTAATTAATAGTTAATTTATTGTCATCCAGACAGAACTTTTAGATTATAGACATTTATTTCAATTCTCGATTAAGAATCAATATATTTTTCTTTTTTGTTTTTGGAGGGGGGGGGGGGGGGGATTTTTTTCGAAGTAACGTGAATCCTATCATACCTCATATTAATTTCCTCTAATACTATAGAACAAAATATGAAAGCAAAATTATGAGTACTCATTAAGTTACTACACTAAAAATAGTCTTTCACTTGTACTGAAAATGTGAAGGTGTTATTAGCAAAGCGCAATAACTCTCTTGACATCCTTGATTTAGGGTTTGATAAAACCCTTTGCACTAGATCGACATCCAAAACATTTGCGTGAAATTCTTTCAGCACAGCCTGTCAATCTTTTTCTATTTTGACACACTCCATCAACAAATTGTATACACCTTCAAGAACCAACACATTATGTGTTCTGAGAACTAATATGCAATTTATCGCTACTAGTTTTTACCCCGCTTCTCGTTCCTTACCGTATGATCCACAGGAATGTTAGGCTGGCGAATGACCTGAGCGTCCGGTCGGGTACGGCGACTGCTAATATCCGGGTCACGTGCTCGTTTCACCGCACAATCCGGATCGTGCTTCAGTTTACTCGTAATAATGTATTTATCACAGTCAACACTCATAACTGGTAAAAACCACTTATGATTGCGAAAATCAGACAAAAATGGTTTTGACCGATGCTCTTAGTCAAAAACAGTTTTGACAGATTTTTGTAGTCAAAAGTGGTTTTAACCAAAGTTCTTAGTCAAAAGTGGTGTTGCCTGATTTAAACTTCAGACTATCGGTCAAAACTCGCAATATCAGTAACAGTAGGTGAAGGTGCAACAGGATAATATTGAAGAAATTGAACTTTTTAATTTTAGGAATTCAAAAAGTATAAGTCAAACGAAGTTTTGACTAACATTGGTGTTCAAAACCACTTTTAACCGATGTAATTTGGTGAACATCACTATTACCCAGTACTTTTGCAGTTAAAAGTGGATTTGACCAACGGCCTTAGTCAAAATACTTTTAACTGCAAAAATCAGTTAAAAGTGGTATTGACAAACGTCCTTTGTCAAAACTAATTTTGCCTGAATTTTTACAGTCTAAAATGGTTTTGATCGGTTATGAGTTTGACTGTAATATATTGACTTGCATCTTGTAAATTGATTTATTATTATTAAATTATTACTGTCAACGCTACCGAAACGTTACAGATTTAAAAGTCCACCGCTGAACATAGGTGTAGCATAGATTGACGTATAGTGGGGATATTTGCCATAGTTTCCACGTTTGGCAGGGGGATTAACTACCTCAGTTTAGGACAGGGAGAAACTGAAACTGGAGATGGACAACAGCATCTTTCGGATAACAACCACAAATTACGAAAAAACCTACGGTTTTTTTCGTAATTTGTGGGAATTGTGGTAAAAGTGGTAAATAGGGGAATTGGTAATTTGTGTTGACCAATTCCCCTATTAGGCAACAGGCAGTCTATGGGGAAAGCCTGTGTTCAGTACCAAAAATATTATGAATAGACTGCACCTGCGCTGCGGACATACGTGCACTTAAATCTAGCGCTGAAGACTATTCTCCGTTGAGGCTGACCACCACTACCGAAATTCGGTCTATCTAACATAGTAGGTATGGTAAAAGTATACCATTTTTCCACCTACTTTTTCTTATAGAATAAGTGTGAAAACGAGCACACAGTCCACCTAGTAAGTGAATGTTGTGGCCCATAGACATCTGCATCTTTTGAGGACAATTAAGAAACAAAATGCAGATAAGTTGTTACCCCTGAGGATTAAGATGGAATGCTTCGTTTCGTAGTGGACTTGTACGGTTGTGCTCTTGCCAGTGATGTTTATTCATTCTTTTCTTTTCTTTTTCTTTCTTTTTTTAATTCATTAATTCATGACAGCCCTTTCAAGTCCACTGCTGAACATGGGCCTCCCCTAAGGAATGCCACAAAGCACGTTCCTGAGCCACCAGCATCCATCTACTTCCTGCATGTCTTACCTGGTCGTCATGTCACGCCATCTAGTGGAGGGCCTACCTGTACGAGGATGCCATTCGAGAACCCTTCTTCCCCATCGGTTGTCGGTTCCTCGAGCTATACGGCCGGCACATTGCCATTTCAGCTAACAAATCTGTTGTGCTATGTTGGTTACTCTGGTTCTATTGCGGATATCCTCATTTCCTTAACAGCAGTCCAGCGCTCTGCGCGTGCAATACAATAATGAATTTCGTGTGCTGATGGGGTTGTCTTGGTTCTGCAGCGCATCGGGGATGTTCGCTATAACGCGAATGGATTTCTTCACGATCACACGCAAGCGATGTACATTCCTGGTACGTAAGACCCGGGCCAGCTCCAACGGTATCCTTGTGATGTCCTCGAATAGAGTTGTGACTGTCAGTACCTAAACCATTGTTTTATGGTTCATGTACTAAGAAATAAATAATCTGAAGCCAACTATGTACTTACTGAAAGATTTTTATTTATTCACCTACATATTTATTTTTATTGAACTTCTCTATTATTTTAATTAATTAGTAACAATTAGCTATGTCCCCAATAGGCTATGTTTCCCGTGTAATGGCGGGTAAGAACACCCACTACCCAATATCTTCCCGTGGGTGTCGTGAGAGGCAACAGAGGGAAACTAAGGCAGAAGATGGGCAGCAGCATCTTTCTGATAAAAGCAAAAAGCAATAAAAAAACTGCGGTTGCCAACCCGCTCGCCAAGCGTGGCAACTATGGCAATATACCCCCATGAGCAACGACACTAATAAAGGGCTTCCAGTCCCCGGCGGCCCCGCTATTCCTGGCTACGGTAGCGACCATGGTAACGGCGGGGCAGGGGGTGCAAAGAATCTCCGGTGGAGGTTCTGTTTCCACCTACGACGACTCGACCTGGCAACTAATAACGCACGCATCCTGAGCACTGACGAGAAGATCTTGGAACTGGAAGAGAAGAGATAAACAAGTTGCGCTGGCTGGCATATTATAATATCTGGATTTATCATCCACAACTATCTCGTTAACAACGTAGGTAAAGATTGTGAGTGTGTCGACGAGGGTTGCGTACCTTATACTCAGAATCATCAAACAGTATTCGCTTAAGGTCATACAGGTTTACGCACCAACTTTGGCATATCTCGATGAGGGGGTGGAGGAATTGTATGAGGATATCTCTAAAGCCATGCATTCCTCCAAAACTCACTATACGGTGTTAAGGGGCGACTTCAATACAAAACTAGGCACAATAGAGAACGGTGAGCTGAAGGTAGGGAAATTTGGAATAGCGCAACGGAACCCAAGAGGCCAAAAGCTGGCCGAATTTATGGAGAAAGAGGCTCTTTATGATGAAATCTATCTTCCAGAAGCAGCCCCACAGGAAGTGGACCTGGTCGAGCCCCGACGGTTCGACATAATATGTGATTAACTTTATTATGACGACCAGACGACAACTGTTCAGTGATGTCTCAGTGATCGCGAGGGTGAAAGCTCGTAGTGATCACCGAAAGGTTAGAGGCACAGTGAACCTAAACGTTAAGTTGGAGAGGTGTCGTTTAATGAAGTCAACGCTCCGTCCCCCTCGGGTTCTAATCCAAAGTCCCGAAACTTTTCAGCTCGAGTTACAAAACCGTTTTCAGTGCCTAGAAGATTGCAATGCTGTGGAGGATATGAATTACAAGCTCGTGGAATCATTGATGGCATTCATATATTAGTCCCGAGTTCACTACATTGCAACTCAGAGCTTGTAGTACCGTCCTACTGTCGGTCAGTATTCTGATGGGGAAGTCATTAACCTTCCTTGCATCTATTGATATGGCCGCTTGAATGATACCCATACATTCCGCCTGAAATACTGTGTTATAGGTACCCAGCGGTGTGCATATGTGGATATTGAGGTCTTCAGAGAAAGTTCCAGAACCTATACCTTCATTTTTTTTAGAACCATCGGTGAAAACTCTAAGCTCTTTTGGGCCTAATCCTTCCGTCTGGCTGGTTTCATTTTATTGTATCTTGTACTTCTTATCGAATACAAATTGTTTAGGAATCTTATCCTACTTGGCTTGTAAGATAGGTATTTTTGAGTGAATTCTATCAATTATGCCTGTATGAGGGACACTATTCTAATATTCTTACTTCAAAGGTTTAGGATCTTGAGTCTGATGGCAGTTAAGTCGCTTCATGTTGTATATGTAGATGAAGCGGGGTTAGCTTCAGAATCGCTTTTAAGGCTGCTGTTGGCGTAGTCCTTATGCAGCCTGTGGCAGCCATACATACCAGTCTCTGGTAGCGCTGAAGCTTCTTTATAGTTGTGGCTTCATTTGTCATGGTCCACCATACCAGAGCGCCGTATGGAATTATGGGCCGAATTACAGTTTTGTACAGCCACAGTATGATTTTTGGCGTCAATCCCCATCTTTTGCCAATCATGTTTCTGCATTGCCAGAAAGTTATACTAGCTTTGTTGATTTTCTTTTCTATGTGTTTATTCCAGTTAAGTTTGCTGTCCAAGGTAAGACCTAATTATTTTACCTCAGACGATAGCTGGAGCTTTATGCTGAAAAGACTTGGGAGATGATAGTTATTCAGCATTTGTTTTTGTGTGAACATTACTAGAACCGTTTTATTTGGATTGACGGTTAAGTTGTATTCCCTGCACCAACTGTCTTTCCAGAGACCAGTATTGTCAGGTCATCAGCATAACCTACTGAGTAGAAGTGATTGGCATTTAATTTGCTGATGGGTTCATTAATGACCATATTCCAGAGGGGAGGTGAGAGAACCCCACCCTGCGGGCAGCCTTTCTTAATTTGGATTAGTTGATATTCACCAGCAATCTTTATTATTCGTGTACTGAGCATTTTACTATCCAGTCAATCAGTGTCGGTTCAACTTTATGTCTACTGAGTGCAACTTTTATGCTGGAGAAGTTCGTTCTGTCAAAAGCACCTTCTATATCAATGAAGGAACCTCGACATATTTCTTTGTTTTGGATGGCCTCTTCAATCTTTGTTATTACCTGGTGAAGTGCCGATTCTGTTGATTTGTCTAGACTGTAGGCGTGTTGCTTGTCGTGTAGTGGAAAGTTCATTAGCACCGACCCCCTAAATTCCCTTTCACACATCCTCTCCATCGTCTTTAGGAGAAAGGATGTGAGGCTAGTGGGCCTGTAGGATTTAGGGTCTGTGTAGTCGCTCTAATCTGGTTTGGGTATGAATGTAACTTTCACTTCCCTCCATCCCCTAGGAACATACTTAAGAGTCAGACAGACTCTTATTATGGCAACAAGTAGGGCTTTACCCCCCCCCCCCCCCACTGTAGGAGTGCTGGGAATATGCCGTCAGGTCCTGCCGCCTTATAGGGGAGGGAACTGTGAATGGCCCAATGGATTTTGTCTATCGTTACCACTCTCTGTGCTAAGTTCCAGTCTTCTGCTGTTGGTGTCAATATGTAGTCATGCCGGTTTGCCTCCTGAGTTACGCAGCAACCTGTCAAGTGCGTTTCAATTAGGATGCGTTGGGCTTCATCCGGCGATGTTGAGTAGATTCGATCCCGACGTGTTCTGTTTAGCTAGAATATTCCTTATCCTATTCGCTTGTTCGCAGGTTTCTATGTTGCCACAGAATTTACGCCACCCCTTCGAGCGTCGATACCTGATACATTTTTTGTATTCGGACTTAGCTTTCTTGTATAGTAGCCAGTCTTCATCCATTGAGGTATTCATGGCCCTATTTAGGGCTTTTCTAACCTTCTTACGTTTTCTATTTAGTTCTTTACCTCACCACGGTTGCTTTACCTCAGCATGCTTTGGTGGAGTGATTTCTGGACTTGATTCATGGTAGCTATCTATCATGGCCTTAGTAACAGCTGCTACCTGTTCTTCTAGGAGCGACTGATCTGCTATAATATTTGTCCCCTTAAAGCCCGCGAGCGACGACGTCAGCCTATTAAGGTATTTTGTTTTATCCGTCTTGCGTGGATTTCTCCATGGTGGTGTAGCGAGGATATCGACATGCAGGGCAAAGCAGATCCATCTATGATCTGCGTATGAGGCCTCTCTCGACACATCAACATTTATACGTGGTAGAGCCATGCTGCAGCTATATTATGGTTGTAGCACGAATAGGTCGGCTCGACCGGGGATGAACCACGCTCTCACAGAAAACCAGCGTAAAATAGCAGCTTAACGCTGCTGTGTTTCGTATGGTGAGTGTAGAGAACCGGAGACCCTTTTTACTCGCAAAGAGGCATTCCATCTTAGTCCTCACGGGTGACAACGCATCTGCATCTTGAATCTTTATTGAGGATAGATGTAGATGTCTATGGGTCACAGTAACCACTTACCATCAGGTGGACTATGTGCTCGTTTGTCACCCGATCCTATAAAAAAAAACATGCCATGCCGTAGTTAGTTTAGCTGCTCCTTCTGTTGCAAGTGTGAGGTCGATTATTGTGCGACAGCGTTTCTTTATGAAAGTTGGTTCAGAACCTGTGTTTAAAATGGTTATGTTAGTGCTAAATAGATATTCTTACACCTTACCTCGTTCATTCGGTCTTTCCATTCCCCAGACCCTCTGATAATGCGCGTTGGAGTCCGTCCCGATCACAACGTCTAGTCCGGTCTTCTCGCAGAAGTTCACCAGCCTCACGAGGTCATGAGGGAGAAGAGTGTCTTCCTCCGGCATGTAGACCGAGGCGACGACTAATCTTCTCTCCTGTGTATATAGTATTGCCACGGCATACATGTCTCTAGAACAGAAATCTGTTAATGGTTGTGCACAGATATCTTTAGTAGTGTAAATACACGCTCTAGGCTTGTCGTGTTCAGAGCTGTAGAATAGCTTACCTTTTAGGTTGTTTAGGCCTTTATTTTTAGCAGACCCAACCCACGGCTCTTGGATTAAGGCTATGGCTTCTTTGAGCCTCCAACCACTTGCGTAACTGAGCCGACGCAGTTTCGCTGTGGTGGAGGTTGGCCTGCACTAGACTAGGTTTGGATGAAGGGCACGCCATCATTAATCGCGTCCTCTCCGCCCCCGCCCAAATATAAACCTACCAGCAGATCTCGGGTTTCATCGTCAGCTACCGAGTCGGAAGTGGTCGGCAAAATGCAGTCCTCTTCGTCACTCAGTGAGCTGCCGCTGAGCCCGATCTCCACTAGGGGCTTCGGCTCAATTGTGCAGGCCGTTTTTTCACTGGACTTGACTTCCAGTGATTCCGCTGTACCCGTAACCATGGCTCCGGTATCCATAACTTCAGAGTTATTTTCTGCCTCTTTGCTTGCCGGAGTGTCAAAGAATTTACCTCCACGGCCCTGGAATTTTACGTATACTGCCCCGCATACACATGCGAGACGGCATCCGGATTTCATCAAGGTCAGGATATATATATCCGACACCGAAACAACGAGGAACCACCCGTCCGTCTGCTTATCTGCCTTGAGTAATAGCCAGATCCTGATGCTAACCCAGTGGTTCTGGTATGCCAGCACACGAACAATAAAAAGAATATTGAACAACAGCCTTTGGTTGCTGTTCGAGTCGCACTTTTTGTGCTCACCTCTCGGCGAGGTGGATCCTTCCAGCATTATTTTGGCTGCTCTTTCCTTCTTCTCAGGACGCTTGGCCGCTCGCTGCTTCCTGGCGGATATCTTAGAGCTGGTTCCCCGCAGCCACGACTTTCACTTGGGCTGGATTTTATCCTTCCCAGCTTCAGCGCGGCTACTGGTTCCAGCCCCAAGGACCCCAGTCGCAGTAGCTTGCCCAGCCTCCTTGTTTTTAGTTTTAGAAGCAGCCAGGGCGGCTCGCTCTGTTCGACCTTTTTCCCGCTGCTTCTTATTCTTCTTTTTGGACTTTCCTATACTGCCTGCAGGGATAGATAGATAGAAAGGCAAGTCACCTTTTTGGGTGCCTTGCCCTTCCCCTTATGGCTCTCTCCTGCGGAACCGTCCCCTCCTCCTTTCTCATCCGGGCTTGGGACCGGCAATGGCGGAGTTAATATGGATATAGTCCTTATGGCAGAATCGCTGGAGGACCTAAGCACTATGCTCAATGACCTCAATAGTGTCTCCCAACGGATAGGTCTTAAGATGATCATGGATAAAACAAGTAGAAAAAAAAGTAGAACCATAATAACCGACTTAACCCAACGAATTAATATGCTGAAGTGGCAATGGACCGGCCATATAGCTCAAAAAACCGACAACCGATGGGGAAGAAAGTTTCTCGAATGGCAGCCTCGTACCGGCAGGCGATTTGTAGGGCGTCCCCCCACTAGATGGAGTGACAACCTGGTAAAACATGCAGGAAGTCAATGGATGCATGTGGCTCGGAACCGTGCTTTATGGCATCCATAAACAAGCGGCACGAGGCACGCGGCGTTCTTCAAAGGCGACAGCGCAAGTGCGCGCACGCCTGTATCGTAGAGTAGGATACCTGTTATCGAACATTAGCTTCTTTGAAAGGGAGTAATGATCGTTAAACTGACTGGAATGAGATATACTATATACAAGAGCCGGACGACGCTCTAAATTTATTTTATGATAAGATATATGATATTCTTGACAAGTGTGTTCCCCCAAAAAAATATAAAAACTCAGTCAATAGGAGGTATACTTATTCGGTTTGGTACACGCCTGAAATAATTAAGGATATAAAGCTGAAATATAAATTACATAAAAAATATAAATCTAGCAAAGCGCGCAATGATTACGTTCTCTCGATGTAGGGCAAGAGTTAAAGCCGAGACTGCACGAGCACATGACCAGTACCGCGACCGCGTGCAGGGACATTTGGCAAAGGATCCCCGAGCGTTTTGGGGGTACATAAGATCTAGGAAAGGCGATTCGAATCATCGAAGGTTAATCAATGGCGGACGGGTACTATCAGAACAAGAATGTGCCAATGAGTTCGCTCGGTTCTTCCAGTCTGTTTACAATCCAACGCCTCCTAAGCTGAGCGTGGCGGCGGCAAGCATAAGTGCGGCGACGGGTGCGGTGCCGGGTGCGTGGGCGCATCTCGCGTGCTTACGTCCCGCTGACGTACGGCGCGCACTTGCACGTTTGCCGCCGAAGTCTTCGGCGGGGCCCGATGGTATTCCGGCGTTTATTTTTAGGGACTGTCGTGCAGTATTAGTAAAGCCGTTGCTACACATATTCAATGTTTGTATTAAGGCTGCAAAGTTTCCTGATCGTTGGAAACTCACTCGGGTAGTACCCGTGCCGAAAGGTAGCAGAGGTTCAGCCCCCAGTGATTATAGACCCGTGGCGGTATTATGCACTCCAGCTAAAGTTTTTGAGTCGACCATTCACAGTAGTTTGTACCCACAAATAAGTGCTCTGTTGTCCGACGTACAGCACGGCTTCCGTCCCGGGCAAGGGACAACGGGGAACTTGCTCGAGCTAATGACACACATAGTACCAACGGTGGATGCTGGCCAACAAGTGGATGTTGCCTATTTTGATTTTAAAAAGGCATTTGACACAGTAGACAATGACGTCCTACTAGCGAAGTTGGCTAGCGTCGGCTGCACACCGCATACGCTATCATTTTTCGCCTGTTATTTACGAGACCGATGTCAGTATGTTGACTGCAGCGGACGGCTTTCCAAACCCTACTTTACAAGATCAGGTGTCAGTCAGGGCAGTAATTTAGGTCCTTTTCTCTTTATTCTGACAATCAACGATTTGCCTGAAGTAGTCAATAAGTCTACACCCTTGTTATTTGCTGATGACCTGAAATTAGTTTTAAAAATAAAGCAGCGGGCGGATCATGACAAGCTACAGCAGGATATAACGAAAGTCGTAGAGTGGAGTTTAGAAAATAAATTATATTTCAACGCGGAGAAATGTTCTATTCTATCATTCAGCCGTGCACATAACCCGAGTCATCATCAATACTATATGGATGGAACCCCTCTGCAACGAGTTTTTGAGGTTAATGATTTAGGTGTGCGATTCACTACCGACATACAATTTCGAAAACACATTACTAATGTTTGTAAAAAAGCATACCGCAACCTAGGGATGTTCTTACGGCTAGCCAACAGATTCACAAACATATGTGCTCTGAGAGCATTATACGAGGTACTCGTAAAAAGTCATTTAGAATGTAATGCTGTTGTTTGGTCACCACATGAAGTCAAATATAAATTAATGCTAGAACGTATTCAGAACAAATTTGTGAGATTTATGTATTTAAAACAGTATGGTGTGTACCCGGGTTATCCACTTTTGTACCCTACTTTATTTATACTAGGCATGATAGGCTATTATAAACTAGAAATAAGAAGGGAAGTTGCTCTCGCCACTTACTTACTAAAAATGATACGTGGTAAAATACATAACCCAGGTATTTTACAGATAGCTGAGCTGTGTGTCCCTAATGAGTACGTAGGAAGACGACGGCGGCCGCCGCTCTTGTTGGTGCCGCAAGCGCGCACCAACTTGCTACAGCACGCGCCTTTGACGCGCGCGCTGCGTGCACTTAACGTGGTCTCACAACATACTGATTTGTTCAGCTGTACTCTGAACGAATTCACAAAGGCCGCTTATTGTAAAATATCTTTAAGTTGTGCATAATATACCTATTTATGTTTGTCTAGTTTCTTAGTTTGTAACTGCACTATTGTATTAGGTAATACACCTGTGATGATAGTTGTAAGTGGTAAAATCAATAAAAAAATAAATAAACATAAAAAAATGTTTAGCTTTAAATACTTAGGGCATGGTATTTTTAAAATTATCGTGCTGTTATAATTCTAAAAACACTAAGACCTAAGTATTTAAAGCTAAACTTTAAAGCTTTTTTGTTTGTGTGTTCTTGTAGATTTAGAGATAATAAACTAGGGATGCACAAGTGAAAATAATATATTGTATCGATATTTTTAACAGTATCTATATATATCGTGTGACAAATTAAGCCCAATTTTTTTTTATGAAAAAAAAAACAACTGCACATGAATGCTTTTGTAGCTGCATTTGTTGCTTTTCATGTTTTGATTATTATTACAAAACTATAAAATATATCGAAGTTGATATGGGGGATGAGTCGCTCGCGTCCGTAGGCTTCGACCACCTAATCCTAGGCCCAATCTACACGTGTCCCCCGGGTGGTGCTAAACGAGCGACAAAGCCGAAAGAACTGACTCGGCTCCTCGCCGTGTGGTAGCGGCGTAAAAAATACCACAACTTACTTTCGCACCATGAGGCAAAATATTAACGAAATGGCCCCGAGTTCCCGGCGCCCCTTTAATGGGGCAGGGGTGCGAAGAATCTCCGGGAGGAAAACCGGCGACGAGGTTCGCCACACGTCACGTTCTGTCCCCCGGAGGGGCGAAAAGTGGATTGCGGAAGCCCGTCTGGCTACATTGAATGTATGTGGAGGAATGAATGATAAGATGGATGAAGTATGCGATATGATGTATAATAGAGGAATAGACGTGTTATGTGTGAAAGAGACGAAACGGAAGGGAAAGGATGCCACTACACATGGCATGTATACCGCGTACTGGTCTGGTGTAGACGAGACCGAGCGGGCATGCCAGGGAGTCGGTATCATCCTTTCAGAAAGAATGGGTCATTGTGTAAAAGAGTATGAATGTGTAAGCCCGAGACTGCTATGGATACGAATGAAAGTGGGCTTAAAGTAGTTGTTTGTTTTAGGGGTCTACGCCCCAGACATGTCTAAGCCCACTTATATCCGAGAGCAGTTTTGGGAGTTGGTAAGGATGGTGCTAATGAAATGCAAGGTTAATGAAAATATTGTGATATTAGGCGATTTTAATGGAAGGGTTGGGGTGAGGAGGCTTGGTTATGAAAGGATATTGGGAACGTTTGGTGATGAAAGTATAAATGAGAATGGTGAAAGCCTTCTCGCCGTATGCGTGGAAAAGAATGTTGTGACGAACACTTTCTTTCGTCATAAGAAGATTCACACGTATACATGGGAAAGAGGTGATGATAGATTTCATAATTGTTGATGAAAGAATGAGGAGCGCGGTGGTAGATACAAGGATTTACCGGGGCTCTAACGTAGGGACGGATCATTACTTGGTCTTATGCCGAATTAATGGTCTTTTCAGACGTTGGAGGCATCGGACATCTGTGTCTACCACAGCGTTACAGCGTATAAGAACAGAGAGGTTACAAGATGAAGGTTTGAAAGAGAAGTTCAAATGTAGGCATTGAGAGAAAATATAAGTGGTATGGCTGAATTGTGTATGAATGATTTAGACTTGGAGACTGTGTGGTATAATGTCAAGAAAGGTTTAGTGGATGCAGCTACCGAAGTATGTGGTGTAAGTAAGAGAACGAATGAAAGGAAAAATAACACGTTATGGTGGGATGATGAGGTACGGATGGAAGTTGAAGCAAAGAAGAAAGCATGGCTAGATTTACTAGCAACCAAGGCTAGTAATTCTAGCAGTATGAATGATGATATTGAAAGGAAAAAGGCAGTTTTTAGACACCTAAATAAGAGAGTAAAAGAAGTAGTTGAAAGGAAAAAGCAAGAAAGAACGGATAAGAATGATAGAAGAATATCGGATAACTTCCAGGCAAACATTAAAATGTTCTGGAAACTCGTAAGAACTACCAGGGGACATTCACAACAGCCTAGAATGAATGCTATACGAGACCAGAATGGCTGTATTCTGAATGACGAAGTTTTGAGTTTAAGGAGATGGAAGGAATACTTTGAAAGCGTGTTTATGAGTGATGAGACGTTTGAATTAAATGAAATAGAAATTCCGAAAGAAGAGGAAATAGATAGAGATATAAGTATAGATGAAATAATGAAAGCAATGAAAAGTATGAAAGCAGGTAAGGCAGCCGGTTATGATAGAGTATCTCTCGAAATGCTAAGGGCTGGAGAAGGAGTGGTGGCAGACCTGCTGTACACCTTGTTTAATTTATGTTGGGAACTTAAGCGGGTACCGGGAGACTGGTGCAAGGCCGTGATAGTCCCAATATATAAGGGAAAAGGATCACAGCAGGACTGTAAAAACTACCGTGGTATCAGCCTTCTTAGCATTGTGGGGAAACTGTATGCTAAGGTACTAATTGAAAGAGTTATGAAAGAAACTGACGGAAAAATTTGGGATGTGCAAGCGGGATTTAGAAAGGGGATGGGATGTACGGATCAGGTCTTTTCCATGCGCATGATCGCCGAGAAGTTTTTGGCCAAAAACCAAAAAGTTTTTTGTGCGTTCATGGACTTGGAGAAGGCTTATGACAGAGTGGACAGGGATGTGTTATGGCAAACACTGAACTCATTTGGGTTGAGCGCTGGTCTGATACAGGCATTGAAGTCTCTATGTAGGGACTCTAGTGCTTCTGTCAGGATCAACGGGGCCTACTCGGACTGGTTTGACATCCATAAAGGTGTCAGACAGGGCTGTGTGGCTTCCCCGTGGTTGTTCAACCTATTTATGGACAGTTGTTTGGAAAATTTGAAAGTAGAAGAATGCGGGTTAAGAATGAGTGAGTTAACCGTCAAATGCCTTTTGTACGCCGATGATCAAGTCATACTTGCGTCGTCGGCAGCCGAGTTGCAAATGATGGTTACATTAATGAACAGGACATTAAAAGAAAAGGGAATGAAAGTGAACGCAAGTAAGACGAAAGTTATGGTTTTTGAAAGAGAAGAAAGTAAAACGATATGTTAAATAAGAATATAAGGGGAGTTGGTAGAGCAAGTAGATGAGTTTGTATTTATTATTGTTTGTATTATATTATTTATATTTGGGATGTGTGTTTAGCAGGGATGGTAGATATGATAAGGATATGAACGACGAGTGAATGCAGGAAATAGAGTGAATGGGGCTCTACACTCTATTGTGAAAAGTCAGAATGTGTCCAAAAAGGCACGTATGGCAATTCACAATGCTGTGTTAGTACCTACTTTAATGTATGGTAGTGAAAGTTGGGTGTGGCAGAAGAAGCATGAGAGTAGAACAAATGCTGTAGAAATGCGGTCATTAATGAATATGTTAGGGATGAAGCTGAATGACAGAGTGAGAAATTGTTTAATAAGAGAAGAGTGTGGTTTGCAAGATGATGTTCTGACCAGGATTAAGAAAGGAATGCTTCGGTGGTTTGGCCATGTAGAAAGAATGAATGAGGAAAGAGTGACAAAGCAAATTTATGTTGCAGAGGTGAACGGCATAGTCGGGAAGGGTCGCCCTAGGCGAAAGTTTATCGACCAAATTGGCGATATATTAAAAATGGGCCAAATCAAGAGTACCTTTAACCGACGAGCGTGTATGCGTAGGTATATGGATGTGGAGGAAGCGAGAGAGGTGTGTCAGGATCGTGCCAAATGGAAGTCCATAGTCTCTGCCTACCCCTCTGGGTGACAGGCGTGAGTGTTTATGTTATGTATGTTATGATATGAATTCGATACTCCCCATACCGATATTTTTATGAGGAAATATCGATATTTCGATATATTGATATTTTTAGCCCAAGCCTACAAGTGACAATGACAACCACAACAACCAAGAGATTTGTTGATGTTTTGTTTTCAAATCATACAATTTCAAAGGCTATAAGGTACTGTGTTAATGAACTACATATTTTATTTTTACCAAAATTTAACGAAATACCTATTTTTTATTAGTGTACAGTTTTACAGCGCGAAACACTTGAAACCAAAGGTCAGCCAAAATAAATGTTTCTACCCAAATCGCGTTGTTAAGCAAGCAAGTTTACCATAATTGAGTCATTATGTAGTACATAAGTACATATTACTTCAATCTTTACCATAAATGTTAAGAAGATAGAAAAACTTCAAGAATAATGGATAACCACAAGATTTGCCGTATTTGTTGCGAAAATTCCGGCACCACAAATGTATTTCAGAGCAACTATGGTGTGCCGGTTAGTGTCAAAATAATGTACTGCTGCAAAAATATACGTATATCAGATGATGATGGCCTTCCTACACTGATTTGTGATATTTGTAAAAAGGAACTTGAAGCTTCATACAATTTCGTGTTAAAGTGTGAAGCTTCAGACAAGAAATTAAGACTTTCCAAGGATGCTATTTTCAATTCCTTTTACAGTATAAAGGAGGAAATTAAGAAAGAATGTGAGGATGAATGTGACAATTCTTTTAATGATGATACCTCGGAATATCCTGTTGATAATGTCAATGACGATGAAACAACACCAAATGAGACTGAAAATGTAAATCACATAGAAATGAAAAAGAAAAGCAACTCTCTGTGCAAGGAAGTAGAATATCAATGTTCAGTTTGTGGCCGATTTTGTGCAAGTAATTCCATTCTAATTACACATATGCGCACTCATACAACTGATAAACCATACCACTGTCAATTTTGTGACAAGAAATATAAAGAAAAAGGAAGTTTGAAAAGACATAAAGACAGCAATCACCATCCCAAGAACAGATCTCGTAATTTTATTTGTGAGAGTTGTGGAAAAGCTTTCTTCTCAAAAAATGATGTTAAAATTCACTTACGGACTCACACAGGTGAGACACCATACATTTGTAATAATTGCCCCATGAAGTTTACACAAATAAGTGCATATTTACGTCATCAAAAACGCCACAGCGGTGTGAGAAGCTATTCATGCTCAATATGCAATAAAAAATTCTGCACGAAAGATGAACTCAAAATGCATAGCAATGTTCACTCTAATGAAAAGAAGTATTCATGCCCAATTTGTAGTTCCCCTTTCAAATATAGAAATAATTTAAAAAAACATTTACTGCTACATTCACAACCTAAAAGTTTTGTCTGCAACCACTGTGGTCGAACTTTCAATGTAAAAGGCAACTTGAAAATCCATATAGATAGAATACATTCACCGAAATCAGGTTATTGTAGTATGTGTTCCAAAAATGTTGCAAACATGGAGGTCCATATGTGGCGACATTCTGGGGAAAGACCACTGAAATGTGAGCAGTGCTCTAGTAGTTTCTATGAAGTAAAAGCTTTGGCACATCATACCAACTTTCGACATAAAAACAAAGAAAAGCACAAATGTACATATGATGGATGTACAATGGCATTTCCCACAAAACCTATGCTAGACTTCCACAAAGCCAAATTGCATGAAACTGGTATACCTTTTCCATGTGACAGGTGTTCTAGAGGATTTTATAGAAAGAACGATCTTGCCAGGCATAAAATTGGTACACACAAGGAAAGACTACTTTAAAATAGATAGGATTTCAGTAGCAACTTAAGACTGCAATTAATAAATTATAGTATTCCTATTGACCCTTTCTTGCTTTGTTTTTCCTGTATATCTTGCTTTAAAGTAACAGTTTATATTAAATTTTATAGCAAGAGGGTCCTAAATTATTTAAAAAGTAACTAGTAGTGTATATAATGTATAGCATATAAATATACTGCATTCTTCAATTTTTAAATTGCAACTACTTTTTTTTGCCAAATTACTAGTACCCATTGACACTTGACAGCAGTATAACTTGTTAATTGGTACTGAGTAATGAGAATTAAAAAAAAAACTTATGAGTCACCACTGTTAACGGTTGAAATGCTTAATAACACCTGCTTTAGAGTGATGAAAAATGATGGTACTAAGGACTAATCCCATTTTGAGCCCTTTCAAATATTAGGTACTTCTAGGTGTTATTTTGTGTTTTATATTTATATATATTTTTATATTACTGCACAATGTAATGAAAATGTAGTAGTAGTGTAAGAATATTCATTACCCCATATTGTTCCGTGGGTTATTGCAAGAGGACAGAGGCAGAGGGAAACTGGAACAAGAAATGGGCAGCAGCACAGATACAGATGCTATTAACAACACAATGAAAATTAGAAGAGCCAACAAAATAACACTAAAAAGTTAACCAAAGTGTAATAGAATGATGTATATATGAACAGTATTTATACCTCAGTATTCAGAAAATATAACAATTAGAAAATTTAACTGTTATTTAATTGTTTTTTTATTATCTATCATTATTTAAAAAAGGCTTTTATCCTACAAGGATATGTCAGCCTTATCATAACCTAACTTATTAGTGTTACTAATGTAATTACACAATACCATGTGTATGTTTGTTTGTATAATGGGGGAGCTAACTATCTCTGTGTGGGGGTTTGGTCCACCATCTACAACTATCTGACAACATTTAATGGACACATCACTCCGAGTGCACTTGGCGAGCCATCTTCAGATGTGTGTAGGTGGACTGCTCCGAAAGGGGTGCTCTTCCCCTACCGCCGCAATAAAGGTGGAGTCGCGGGTGAAGAGGAGTGTTGGTAAGACGATGCACCACTCACCTTATCCTCCGCGACCTGGCGGGGCCGCACCGTTGATGCGGTGGTGGTGGGGCCGCGGGGGGAGAGGTGTCGATATTGCAAGGCGCCGCTCTCCCTACTCTCCGCGGATGAATTTTAGTTAGTGGCAGAGCCACAAGCCAGATCTGCCGCTGCAGTCAGAAAGGCTTTAGTGCTTCCGAGTGCTTGTTTTCCCTGGTCTCTGCGCAGATAAAATGATGAGAGATGCGCAGAGAGCTTCTTCTTTAGGTAGGTGAAGTTGGAGGCCACAAGAGAATACAAGCTCACCTAGTATTGAGAAGGAGAAGGTGGAGGAGAAAGAAGGGGCCTGCCGGTGCTGGTGGGGTCACTACACAAGCGTTCCTGTGGCTCTACCAATATGTATGGTCTGACATAACCTGTCCTTGCAGTAAGGCGGGCTATGCATAAGCATTTCCCCACATAAAGGTGATTACCTGAGGGCTGAAGACAGGGACTGGGAAATGACGGTGTAAGAGATTCCACTACCATCATCCCATGAGTGATATAAAAGGCGAAGCAAATAAACCAGGAGATGAGCAACAGCATCTTACTTATTACTAGAAAATCTTAATATCAAAAATTCTTACCACTACGCCTGACAAGCGTGGCAACTATGGCAAATATTCCACTGAATAGGCAATCTATAGGGAGATCTATATTCAGTAGTGGACTTTGATAGGCTGTTATGAAGATGATGATAACAATCAAGACAGGAGGAGGACACAATAATCCTTGACTCCAGCAACTTATTCTATCACCGTGAGGGTGAAAAGAAAGTTTTATCTTATGCCATCATTATAGGCCTTATCTATATATGACACTAGCTGATACCCGCTCGTTTTGCTGGGTGCACGGATGTAAAATATCAATTTTTTTTTTTATGTGACTATCGTAAAATCTATTCTTAGTGAGCGTCTTGCGAAATTACGAAATAAGTAACTATACTAAATTTCAAGTCAATCGGGTGTACAGTTTAAGAAATCTCATGATGAGTCAGTCGTATTTCCCTAATATATATATATATATATATATATATATATATATATATATATATATATATATATATATATATATATATATATATGTATATATATATATATATATATGTATATATATATATATATATATATATCTCTTAAATAAAATAAAGAAAGCAATGTAATAATCCAAGATTAAAACAACACATTCCTCAAAAAATTTGTCATTTTAATAGAGCAGTGTAAGACAATCAATAAATGGGAATAAATATTGACAATAGAAAAAACATTGTTATGGGTTCAAAAGTTCAAAAATCTTGTCAACAGCACCACCTACCTCATCCAATTGTAAATCTAAACTATTCAGGTACCCACGTAAACACACAAAAAATCATCAAAATTGGTCCAGCCATTTGGAGGAGTTCAGTGACCAGCACAAATGAACAAGAATTATATATTTTTTTTAAAGAATAGAGGACAAACAAGAAAAACTTAGAGCAGCTGGTTTTTCATCAGTATGTATACACATCTATATTTATAGATATAGCTTATTTAACTACTGGGTCGCCACCTATACAATAAATTGTTTTTTTTTTTATAAGATAAGGGTGACAAACGAGCACACAGTCCTCTGTGTGCTCGTAGTGCAGTAACCTGATGGTAAGTGGTTGCTGCGGCCCATAGACATCTACATCTATCCTCTGTTACAAATCAAAATGTAGATGCGTTGTCACCCGTGAGGACTAAGATGGAATGCCTCATTTCCAGAAAAAAGGGCCTCCGGCCACCTGCACTCACCAAGCAAAACGCAGAGGTAGACCTCTACTTCACGCTGGTTTTCTGTGAGGTTGTGGTACTACCCCGGTTTGAGCCAGCCCATTCGTGCGACAGCAAAAGCTGCCACATGGCTCTACCACTGTTCAATGATTATTGTATAGGTGGCAATGAATAGCACACAATTGAAGAAACATAAATTATGCCAATCACTATATTCTACAACTACAATTTTTTACCCCCATAATTTATCACAATTATAAAAGAGTTTACTTACAGAATGTTAAGTTGGGTTTCTAGTTTTGTCTTAAAGTAATTTATATATTTTCTATAGATACCTCCTCTTTCAGAAATACTATGTTTTGTGTAACAAAAACTGCAATCCTTAATACAATATTTGTCATAAATGTGATATCATAGTTCACAAAAAATCTAATTTAAAGACAAAAGTAAGTTCTTTATAAAAGCACACAGTCTACCCAATAACAAGTATATGCTGTGTCCATGGCTATCTATATCAATCCTCGATTAAGAATCAAAATGCAGATGACTTGTCACCGCTTAGGACATCAACCATAATATAGCTGCAATGTGGGTCTACCATATATGAAACTTACATTTAACTTTTACACTTACATAATTAAAGTTTTCAGTCTTCTTGGACAGTAAATAATCTTAATTAATGACTAGAACAAGTCCAGTATGACAGTTGTGATATTTAAGAATATTGTAACATACATGGTTTAACATCTATAGGTTTCAAAGATGTCGACTTCATTTGGACATCTAAGTGACTGACTCTAAGGTGTCGTGAGAGATCACTCGTTCTAAAAAAGCCTCTGGAACAATACTGGCAAATGTATGGTGTGTGATTAGTATGCTGCTTTAATAAATGGAACTCCAGCATTGTAGCTGTTGGAAATGATTTTGTACATTCCCCTATTGAACATTTGAATTTTGCTGCATTTTCATGTTTAAACACCATATGATGTGCAAGACTTCCTTTTGTTGCAAATGCTTGATTGCACAAAGCACATATGAAAGGTTTCTCTCCGGTGTGCTTACGCATATGAACCTCTAGATCTGAAAATGTCTTTAAACACACAGTGCATTGCCCAGACCTCTCTGAATGTACCCTCCGAATATGTGTCCGCAGATTACCTTTCATTGAAAATGCCATGCCACAGAAACTACAGATATTTTGTTTTTCATTTGTGTGTAGACTTAAGTGAGCATTTAATGCAGTTTTCGATTTTACAGATTTGTTACAAAGGTGACAGCTGAAATTCTTCTCATCACTGTGCACACTTTGATGTTTCTGCACAAGATTTTTATCAGCAAATTTCTTATCACATATTGGACATGAATAAGGTTTTTCCCCAGTATGTGTTCTTTTGTGCCGGATAAGTGATGCCACTTGCCGGAACCGCTTAGAGCAGAATGGACACACATATGGTCTTTCACCCGAGTGCACCCTCATATGTGTTATGATGTCATTTTTTCTAAAAAAGCTATTGCCACATGTTTCACATGTGAATTTCCTTTCACGCTTAGCATGGTAGGTTTCATTATGTCGTTTCAAAGAACCTTTGGTGGGAAATTTGGAGTCGCAGAATGAGCAGCTAAATGGTTTTTCACCAGTATGTGTGCGCATATGATTTTGCATAGCTGATGGGCTGATGACAAGCAGCCCGCAAATAACACACTGTATTGGCCCGACTTTACTTCGCTTGCATTTTTTTCTAACTCTTTCCTTTCCTTCATTTCCTTTAAGTTTAATTTCGCTAGTTGAAACCTTATTAGGCACCTCATCAGATAGGAAATTATCATAATTATCGTGATCATCTAATTCCCCTTTAATGCCTTCAAGTTCAATGTCTATTTCGAGTTTTGGTTGAATTTGGTTAAAATAATCTGAATCATGAAAAGAGTGTAGTGCCTTATCGGACGCTTCACATTTTAGGACGAACTCATAAGATATCTTAAGCTCATTAATACAGTTGCTACAAATCATGGTCGGAAGACCATCTCCTTCGGTAATATTTATATTGACGCACCTCATTATTTTATTACTGTATTGAATATCATCTTCTTTACTAAAAACAGAAACAGCTACAGATTGGCCTAAACA